AATAAGGAAGAAAAAAACGACATAAGGGGGTGCAAGAAAGGGCACAGCAAAGAAAAATGATTGATTGATATATGTATCACCAGAAAGAAGCTAACTGATCATAACAGGAAACATAAACAGTGCTGATAGGATATACAGCGGTACCAGGTCGATACCTACACGTCGCGACCCGTGAAGATCCGGGGTAGAATAGGTCTTCAACAACCCATTCTTGCCGTAAAAGGCGACTATGCTTGTCGTAAAAGGCGACTAACGGGATCAGGTGTTCAGGCTCGCTGACTTGATTCATACATATCATCGTATCCCAATTGCGTGGATCGATGCACATGGTGTATATCACTGGATTTTCTGGTCCGGACTCGATTATTTACAGACCGCCGTCATATAGCTGGAATATTGCTGAGTGCGGCGTTAAACAACAACCAACCAAACAAATAGGCGTAAGTGCTTCAAGGCCACACTGAAGTACAATAGCTGCTGTCACCATACTTTAAATTGCCACAAAAACTAATCAGCCTCATGGTGTGTGACGATCAGCCCGTGACATGGTTGTATCCAACTATGAGATATCTGTGTATTCATTCTGCATTCAACCTTTTTACGAAGCAAGAAACCATCACTGTAAACATTGAACTGATTGATTGATAAGTAACAGTAAAGATATGATATTTTTGTTTATGGATGACAACTTCTTAATTTTTTTTATGATGCGACGTATAGGTTGTTTGTTTGTTTGTTTGTTGTTTAACGCCGCACTCAACACGTCGTAATGATACTCTTCATCTACTCTTTCCTCTGCATCTGTCATGCGGTATCTACTCTTTACTATGTCTGTAACGTGCCCTATATACTCTTTACTTTGTATGTGACGTGCCCTATATACTCTTTACTTTGTATGTGACGTGCCCTATATACTCTTTACTATGTCTGTAACGTGCCCTATATACTCTTTACTTTGTATGTGACGTGCCCTATATACTCTTTACTTTGTATGTGACGTGCCCTATATACTCTTTACTATGTCTGTAACGTGCCCTATATACTCTTTACTTTGTATGTGACGTGCCCTATATACTCTTTACTTTGTATGTGACGTGCCTTATATACTCTTTACTATGTCTGTAACGTGCCCTATATACTCTTTACTTTGTATGTGACGTGCCCTATATACTCTTTACTTTGTATGTGACGTGCCCCATATACTCTTTACTATGTCTGTAACGTGCCCTATATACTCTTTACTTTGTATGTGACGTGCCCTATATACTCTTTACTTTGTATGTGACGTGCCCTATATACTCTTTACTTTGTATGTAACGTGTCCTATATGCTCTTTGCTTTGTATGTAACGTGCCCTATATGCTCTTTACTATGTATGTAACGTGCCATATAGTCTCTTTACGATGTATGTAACGTGCCCCATATACTCTTTACTTTGTATGTGACGTGCCCTATATACTCTTTACTTTGTATGTGACGTGCCCTATATACCCTTTACTATGTCTGTAACGTGCCCTATATACTCTTTACTTTGTATGTGACGTGCCCTATATACTCTTTACTTTGTATGTGACGTGCCCTATATTCTCTTTACTTTGTATGTAACGTGCCCTATATGCTCTTTGCTTTGTATGTAACGTGCCCTATATGCTCTTTACTATGTATGTAACGTGCCATATAGTCTCTTTACGATGTATGTAACGTGCCCCATATACTCTTTACTTTGTATGTGACGTGCCCTATATACTCTTTACTTTGTATGTAACGTGCCCTATATGCTCTTTGCTTTGTATGTAACGTGCCCTATATGCTCTTTACTATGTATGTAACGTGCCATATAGTCTCTTTACGATGTATGTAACGTGCCCCATATACTCTTTACTTTGCATGTAACGTGTCCTCTATACATTTTGCTATTTATGTAACGTTCCATATATACTCTTTACTTTACCAAGGACCGCCTCCGTGGTCTAGTGGTAGAGCGTCCGCCCGGAGAGCGGAAGTTCCGGGGTTCGATGCCCGGCGTCATACCAAAAGACGTTAAAAGATCTGTCTAGCGCTCGGCATTCAGGGGCTAAAACAAGGACTGGTTGGGTATTCATGTTAAACTACGGCATGGTATCTCAGTGTGCTAGCACTATAAATCGGCATCAGTTCGGACTAGTTCAAGCATTCACACACAAACACACCTGCATGCACGTCGCTGGATTTATCTATGCAAAGCCATTGTCAACAAATAAGGACTGATTTTAAACATACCTCACTCGCAATATAAAATTCTTACAATTGACATTTTATCAGAATGACAAGATTTGACACTTCTAACAATGAAATGTTTACACACACACACACACACACACACACACACACACACACACACACACACACACACACACACACACACACACACACAAAAAACAACCCACAAACACACACATACATACATACATGTACATACATTCATTTTATATATTTGATAAAGTGAAACATTTGACATTTATAATATCCTTACAATGAAAATATGAAATACATTTTAAACACTGAATAGTATTTAACATTGTAAAATTATTACAATACTTAATTATCACTGACACTGATAAATATTAGACACTGGTCGGTCTGGAAGAATTAAAACACAAAAACAAGTTGTGTCATCTTGGAACATACAAGGTCATGAATGACTATAGTTGATCATATGACTGGATAGTGAGTGAGTGAGTTTGATTTTACGCCGCTTTTAGCAATATTCCAGCAATAGCACAGGCGGGGACACCATAAATGGGCTTCACACATTATACCCATGTCGGGAATCGAACCTGGGTCTTCGGCGTTATGAGCGATCGCTTTATCCACTAGGCTACCCGACCGCCCGGCTGCTTATGAGACATAGATAACAATTGCTTGTCTATGAACACACCTATTATCTATAGGTTCCCTTTTTTTACTGGCTGTGAAAGGATACATATAAACAACAACATGTTTTAAAGCAACTCACAGGCTTGTCAACAGTGAGTGAGTATGGTTTAACGCCGCTTTTAGGAATATTCCAGCAATATCACGGCGGGGGACACCAGAAATGGGCTTCACACATTGTACCCACGTCGGGAGTCGAACCCGGGTCTTCGGCGTGACGAGCGAACGCTTTAACTATTAGGCTACCCGACCGCCAAGGTTTGTCAACAGAGTAAAGTAATAATAACATAAAATACTTTTGACAAGTCCACAATTAATGTGAGGGGTGCTGTTGTATCTGCTCTTTACTGTGTATCTAACATGTATCTCTTTACTGTCTATGTGACATTTATCTTCTCTTTACTCTGTATCTGACATGTATCCCACAGCCAAACCTCCGTAAATATGTTTAAAAAAATGTAATAATAATATAAGATATAATACAATCTCACTGCGGTAAATACAAATTAATCAACTGAATAGCAGTTGTTCGTTCACATTCCCACAGAGATGGTTTCGAGAAGATAAGCGCTAAGCTTCAGTGTCCAGCGCTGAATGTTGGACTACTGCTTTGAATGCTAACAGGTCTGTCACTCTTTGATCATTGTCCCTGTCTATGTGTAACGTGGGGCGGTCGGGTAGCCTAGTGGTTCAAGCGTTCGCCCGTCACGCCGAAGACCCGGGTTCGATTCCCGACATGGGTACAATGTGTGAAGCCCATTTCTGGTGTCCCCCGCCGTGATATTGCTGGAATATTGCTAAAAGCGGCGTTAAACCATACTCACTCACTCACTATGTGTAACGTAGGTATTCTTGTAGAACTCACCGGAGTGGGCTGTCTGAATCTCCAGTTGGTTAAAAAACACAGAAGGTACACAGAAGGTACTGCAACGCATAAAAACAAGTACAAACAAAACACACAAGTTTACACACTGTTTATTAAATAAAACAAACAATATACATGAGAGAATGTACCGAAACGCCCGTAAAGTTCCGGGTTCGAACAGGTCTTCAGCAACCCATGCTTGTCATAAGAGGCGACCAACGGGATCGGGTGGTTAGAAGGGATACATTTCCTGGATAATGCGAAATTACAAATTACATCAAACAAATGAAGTTATATTGAGATCATTACATGAGTGAGTATGGTTTTACGCCGCTTACATTGAGAGCATTCTATAAGTGAGTGAGTGAGTGAGTATGGTTTAACGCCGCTTTAGCAATATTCCAGCAATATCACGACGGGGAACACCACCAATAGGCTTCATACATTATACCCATGTGGGGAATCGAGCCCGGGTCTTTGCCGTGACGAGCTAACGCTTTAACCACTAGCCTACCCCATCTCGAAAAATTCTTGTATTTCCCGAGCGTGAGCGGGGATAATACATGTATTGTTTGACATATTTGCGAGTGTAATAATTTCTTTAATACCGATTATTTTTAAGTCCTTTTGAACTTCACAACAGAAAAAATGCAGTGATCGACCGCCGTCTCAGAAAACCGCAATCGTCGAATGACGTCAACAATCTTCTGCTTTGGCGTCTTTTCTAATGTGTGACGTACTTGCACAATCATTTGGCGACAGAGGTAGGCCATATAACCAGCTCTGACCTAAGACGCATACCAGTGAATAATAACTTAGGTAAAGCGAAAGTATTTCCGTCCTCGGTCAATTATACATGACAATAGAACATTCACGAGGTGAAGACAGAGGACATATGGCGATGCATACATGTATGTAGATTATTCGTAGTAGAAGTAGTAGTAGTAGTAGTTGTTGTAGTAGTTTAAATTGCACCAGGGGCGGTGGGATAGCCTAGTGGTTAAAGCGTTCGCTTGTCACGCCGAAGACCAGGGTTCGATTCCCCACATGGTTACAATGTGTGAAGCCCATTTCTTGTGTCCCCCTCCGTGATATTGCTGGAATATTTCTGAAAGCGGCGTAAAACCACACTCACTCACTTATATTGCACCATATCCCAAGAGCACCAAAGTTTCAGACAGCAAAGGTCTTAACTTTTCCACGCCAACTTGCATATCTATATCGGACAGATGAGCAACAATGATGGCTCAGAAAATATAATAATAGGCTCCATTCACCCGAATGACTGATAGTCAATCCATTTTCGCACTGATAACAGCTTTACGACTTTAGGATATCCTTATATTCAGCAAACTGCTGCATCTTCCCAATCAGCCAGGGTCCGTACTTTACTCCGTTTTCTGATACAAGATCATATTCATTTGTTTTTGTGTAATTGTTCTTCATAACATCTTTAAACGGAATCATTCGCCCCATCTCGGCACTGTATCTTGGCTCAAAGAAAAAAGGTACTGAGTACCGGTCAATACTTGTTTCAACCACCCTGTGTCTGGTAGCCTTGAAACGACCGTTACTAGTCTTTGATAAAATGTCCCCTATGTTCATGACAAGAGAGTTGGGTCTTGGTTCCACGTCAACCCATTCGCCATGCTGGTTGCGAATCTGAAGCCCTCGATAGTGGAAGGTGGTCAAGAGTGTCACAAAGCCGGAATCAGAATGTTCAGAACAGCAGAGCACCTTGTCGCCATCTCTAGCTGTGTCTGGTGGGCTGGAGGACCTCAGTGGGTAGTGAAGAAGACGAAGAGTTGACAGTGTGTCAGGGAGAAACATCGACTCAAACCAGTATTCGTCTAAACCTGATCCCAAGGCCAGCAATCGCAGTATTTCTGTTCCAGTATGCAACATAGCGTTGTAGTACTGTTTCATATCTCGCAGGAACTCATCAAAACCATCCATGTAGCAGGGCCAGAGATTTGGCTCGGTGAACAGAGGGTGTATATCAGGATCGTTGAATGGACAGTTCTCAATTCCTATCTCAAACCCCTCCTTGTACGATATATCCTCTGGTTGCAAAGGGAAGTAGCCACGGTATCTGTTTTTGTTGATGGAATTCCATTTGTGTTTGGCCATCATGTGTTTTTCTGCCGATGACAGAGAAAATAATCTTTTGGCATTTTTCAGGAGAGACTCGAGATCTACCCCTGGAGCATTATCAACGTAAAGGAAACCAATAGTCTCTAGTGCTTTGGCAAGCTCTTCAGCTACTCTTAGTCTCTGTGTCTTGTCTTGAGCTCTCTTCAGATCTATAATTGGCAGCTGTACATTTGTGTCCATCATGTATCCCCTGCTCACGGATACCTTTAGCTGAAAAATATAAAAAAAGGCTTTTAGACGACAACTCTAAACTACTGATTTAAGTGCGATACTATTAATATATACAAATGAGGACACATTTCCGTACAATTATTACAAAACCAACCACATAAGCTACGAAGGTGTGTGTCACAAACTTTTCTTCGTGTCGTTCCAACAGGTAATATACTTCCTATCATATATGTTGACGTATTCCTGTCTGTAACAATCCCTTTGTGACTATTCTTCATGACGGGATCTTCTGTGTGTGGGGTCGAATTATGAGATAATCGCTAAAGTGCTCGGTTCTGAATTAAAATAAAAGGTATCGAATCTACAGTTAGACTGTCTCAAATTTCAAAACACATTTATCTTCAGTCTAGCAAAAGTCAGCTATCTTAGAACGTGCCGACAAGTGGTCACAAGTAGTGACAAAAAAAATATTACTCAAGTAATATATTATATTGTTAATTATTTATACTCTTCACTACTATAAAATACTGATTACCAAAAAAACAGTTTCTTTAAAAAAATGAATGAAATAATCCTTCAAAAAGTGACCGCCAAAAGAAACTTTACGATAGTTAAAAAAAACAGAAAAGATACATTCATGAAATAAAATGTATTGAAAAGATCATAAAACGACAGTCATACAGCATACGATATTGACGTGGCAGTTGCCCGAATTGAGGTCGGGTAACAAAAGCAAGCTTTCAACGTCATCGACAAAGGGCACACATATCTAAAATCGCTCAAGTTCAATGACACGTCACATTAATAGCGTGTATGACCACCCCCCTGCTACAAGACACGCAAAAACTCTCCGGCACAGAAAAAGCCAGTCGTCTTATGGCGTCACGTTGGTTACGTCACCATTCTTCTTGGAAGGTCTGGATCAGTTCTTGTCGGTTGGCTGGATGATGTGGTCGCTGTTCAACACGACGATCCATGACATCCCAGATATGATCTCCGGGGGACATGTCTGGGGAGCGTGCAGGCCACGGCAACACGTTGACGTTGTTGGTTGCAAGGAAGTTCTGTACGATTCGGGTTGAATGGTGTCTGGCGTGGTCATGCGGATAAAGGACACCACGTGCCAACTGTTGTAGAAACAGAACAATCAGAAGACGAATGTCATCCAAATAACGCTGAGCTGTCAAATTTCCATTTGGATGACCAGTGATGTTCATCCCTGCCCACATCATAGCACGCCCTCCACCATAACGGCACGAGCTCCTGAAAGTAGCATGCTGCCGTTCGTTCTTGCCTTCGGCGGTAAACACGCAGTCTTCCATCATCTCGGAACAGACAGTGAAGACAACCCTCTGCCAACGACGTACAGTCCGGGCCCTTTTCAATCTCTGACGGCGAAGTTGAGCTGTCAATAACTGTCCTCTGTAGGGTCTGTAAGCCCTAATTCAACGAGCCCTGAGTCTGACCGCTGTCTGTCGACTAACCATATATCCTAAAGCATTCGTCACTGTCAGGCATCGATTCCGGAGATGCAAAGCATGCAAGTACCGGTCTTCAATGGGCGTAGTTTCTCTGGGTCTGCCTGTTCTTGGCCTGTCTGATGTCTGCCCGGTCTGCCTGTAACGTTGCATCAGGTTAGTTACAGCAACCCTCGAGCAACAAGAAGTTTAAGCAATGTTGGCATGGATGCTCCCCTCTGTATTCTACCCAGGGCCCGCTCGTGTTGTTCGAGTGTCGGTCGTAGCATTCTTTGGTGGTTTGTTATCAGTATCGGAGTGTCTGACATGCCCCCCGTATCATTTATATACACTTATTGCATGTGTAGTTTCGGCTGCACGTGTTTTCTTACTTGTTTTGCATTTGCAGTTTTGCAACGAACAAAACCGTGCCGTGGACGTGTATCACTTTCTGCACAGAGCATGGTTGTGTTTGGAAGTTGATTTGCATTGATTTTGTTTGAACTTATGTTTTGAAAAATTCGCAATATCATTTTTAAAGTGGTAAATTTTCTTTTGGCCGTCAGTTTAGATATATAAGAAAACATACTTGTGGGTAACAACTTCTGGTCTATTGAATGTACATGTTGTTGCTAGAAAAACACCTTCCGGAACTCAAACTTATTGTAAGCAAATCATCAGTCCCGTAAATGTACCGGTTTGTTTGTAAACATAAGATATTAAAGCCGAGTTCATTGTACGATTCAGACTATATCATGAGCATATGTTTATGAATTACTATAAAATAAATGTAGTCTGGAAAAGACACGTGTGCAATGTTAACTTATATATATATATATATATATATATATATATATATATATATATATATATATGACTTATAACTTTACTTCCTGCAAGTAAGCGTCATTTCTGTTGCCTAACAACAAATAGTAATAAGACATCTTGTTATGATCATAGAGTTAGTCCATTTTTAGAAGATAGACCAAGAGTTGATACCTTTAATGTTTGGTTTCACAGTTCAAGCTTCGTGTCACAATTCGCTTATTTGATTATTCGATAACAGTGAATTTAAAAGGAGAAACGTTTAAGCGTAACTACAAGTCTTGTGTCGCATCGATCCTTCTCATAGCCTCCGTATATGCACGTTAACATGTGTGGAATTAATCCTAATTACACCTGTACTCAGCTTGCTTAATAGCTTAAGGTAGGTGTTGCGTAATTAATACATTCCTTAGCATTTGCCCTTAATTAGCTGTCCTGAGCTTTCAGTGGTAGACCTTATACGTTCGTGGAGGCTAATTAACAAAACCAAAATACTGTCTTTTGAACTTTCGTTTACATGTCTGTCCTAAAATGCTTCCAGAATAATTTTGTGAGCCATGAGAGTTTCATGGCCATCACAAATACGAAATAAAGTCATAACTTATCGTCGGGGCGGTCGGGTAGCCTAGTGGTTATAGCGTTGATGGTATCGTTCTGTCGCATTAAAAATCCGATGTTAAATAACGACGTTATCTGATGGTTAGAAAGAGTAGGTTTTTCATCCAATGACCATATACGGAAAAAAACGACTTTCGTGTTTGCAGTGTTGTTCAGGGGATGTAAATACGGTTACCATTCAAATTTTGAATTAAACTCCATCATCCAATCCTTGGTTGATAGGCTAGTAGTACACGGACAAAGTAATTGTCTTAAATGACAACCAACAAGAAATCCAGCGCCAGTGCCATATGGGATGTTAAGAAAACAAACGATTCCTCTGAGGGGCAAAGGTCATTTAATAATGACAAATGTTTAATCGAAACATAAAACCTCCAAGACCTTCAAGAGGAATAACCTGGTGAAAGTTCTGTGGTTTGACTTAGTTCACATCTCTGCACTGTACGATTGAGCAAGTTTCTCATGCATTGCATCATGCACTGTAACATAGCGCTCATATGCATGGGGCGCCAATCACCACGTAGCTTCATAAGCAAGGGTGGAATGCCAATGTCAAATGCATAGGAACATCCGCCTCTGCGGAAAGATTAACCGCTGTATGCATCAGGTTAATGTTTTTAACAAAACTCTTGAGGACACCATTTCTGTCCATATATGAAAACAAAGGTGCATTTGAATGTTGAAGTTCTTTACTATATTGTGAAAGCAAATGTTCAAGTGTTTTAACAGGACAAGGTACCATAGCCAGGGGTAACTTTATCACTCGCTGACCAAACTATAGTTTTTGTGTGTCTGACAGTAATCATGGCACTATCTTTGTCAGGGGAAATCTTGGCATCTTGCAGACTCAAGTAGGTCTGCTTTCTTGAACCACTGCCTCTAGTTTCAGAGAGCATGGTAGATTTCCTCAGGAAACAGAAAAACGCAATGATGCAGGCTGCCCAAAAGGCTACTAGGAATGATTCTGACATGTCCACATGACTGTGCATCCGCCTTAGTATATCCAGTGTTATAGGAAGTTCTTGTTTCGTTGGTGTATCTTTTAGTCTTAATATACCTTTGTGCGGGGCTTTTTGTTCCCATGTCTCCAAGGGATTTGGTAACCCCACCTCAAGATGAAGCAGACGAATAATATTCATATATCCTGGTATAATAGTTGCTGAAAGGGATCTTGTTAGGAACAATCTGTACAGCAGTACTGTCATGCGGTCGGCTGGAACTGGTGTCCTCCTAAAGTACAGACAGAATCTCAGGTATGCAGTTCTCATGGAGCTATATGTGCGCTTAGTAGTTTCGGCATATGCTGCCCGTCGAAACTGCTGTGTCAAAACTGCTGCATCTCGCTACATAGTCGCCACTGTTGTGCCACTTGCCCTGTAGATAGGACAAAGTTAGTTTGGATACGCGTGAGGATATTGGCACTAGAATATGCTTCCTGTAACATGTTTCACAACACAACCAACAGAACGGAATAAACTGTATCGATTTATAAAGAAATGTAACATTGTGCAACCTGCTCAGAGAGTCAGCTGCAAGTTTATCCTTGCCTGGGATATATCTGGCTGAAAGTTTAAAGTTAATTTATTGTAGTACCCATTCTTATTACATCAGGCAAGGAAATAAAAAATACTTTTGTTCTGCATGTGGGATTGGGGTCAAAGGTAGTTACTGTTTATGTAAGAGTCACTGTGCTGATAGGGTTAGGAAGCAGATTATTTACGCTAGGAAGAGAGATTACATCAACGAGAGGAATAGGTTGGGGTAAATACGTATTTAGACATGAAAATATAACCATATAGACATTTGACTCATTTTGTATATACCATTAAATCACAATGGTTTTGTCAGAGAGTTGAAGGCTTTGGCAAAACAATGTGGTCTACATGGATATTCTCGAATGAGAAAAGCTGAATTGATTGATTTACTCGGTTTGGAATACAACAAACCCCAGACTGTTAGAGTACTCAAAGCTCAAGCTAAAAAAAAGTGGGCTGAGAGGTTATTCTCGAATGAGAAAAGCTGAATTGATTGATCTACTGAATGTTGATAAAAAAATAACCCGATGATAAAAATAATAAAGTTAAAATTTGTACCCACAGCCGGCGTTGG